GTCCACATCCCTCCTGAAGTGCGGCGCCCAGACCTGGACACAGTACTCCAGCTGCGGCCTGACCAGTGCCGCATAGAGGGGGAGGATCACCTCCTTGGACCTGCTCGAGATGCATCTGTGGATGCATGACAAGGTGCGGTTGGCCTTCCTGACCCCTTTCCCACACTGCCGGCCCATGTTCATATTGGCCTTAATAATGACTCCAAGATCCTTTTCTGCCTCTGCCCTGCCGAGAAGGGAGTTCCCCAGCCTGTAGGTATGTTGCTGGTTCTTCCTCCCCAGGTGCAGCACCCTGCACTTGTCAGTGTTGAAACCCATCCTGTTCTTGTCTGCCCACCCCTGTAGCCTGTCTAGGTCCGATTGCAGCCTATTCCTCCCTTCTAGTGTGCCCAATTCACCCCACATCTTAGTGTCATCTGCAAATTTGAACAGGGTGCTTTTTACCCCTTTGTCCAAGTTGCTGATGAAGATATTGAACAGTGCAGGGCCCGAGGTGAATGGTCGCATTTCCCAAATTGCCTATGGTGAAATGGAGGAACACCTGTGACACTGAGACACTTGCAATTAAACTGAATAAAAATACTGGCAAATCAGCTGTCAGAAACAGCCTTGCCTTGAGCACCAGCACTCAGTATCATTCAAGATGTCTTTTCATCTTCAGCTTCTCAGCATCTGTCTAACTGCAAATTGGCTGTGGGCCTCCTTCTACTCCCACTGAAGTCAGTTATACTAAACCCCTGCCTCCCGTTGGAAGGAAGTCCTACCTTTCCTTGGAACGCAGAAGAGCATTTCAGTGGTGGCAAAAAACAAGACGATGCTCAGGAAGACCAGGCCGGAGCAGTTCTGCCTGCCCCATGTGACATTTGGAGGGGAAGACGATATCCCCCTTGCAATCAAACATGTGGAACAGAAGCATCTCTCCCAAAGAGCCAGCTGTGGGAAGAGGGACAAACTCATCAGTGGGTTTAGTTTTACTGATGTAGCAACGGTTCAAGAGAGGTTCTCGACCGGGCATCCCAACTCAGGGAGTCCACGTGTTCTAGCTGAGGTGTTCAAGATGGGATCCAAGATGGGTTCTAGACTGGACACCTGAGCTCAGGGGCCCTGTTTTAAGTGGGACACTTGAGAAGGGCTCCAGGGGGTTCTAGGCTGGACATCCCAGTGCGGGGGGTCGATGGCTGGGAAGTTCTAGAAAAGCTCCAGCGGGGATCTAGACTGGACATCCCAGCACCAGGCGTCAGTGTGTTTTAGCTGGGGTTTCTAGAACGGCTCTAGGAGTGGTTCTAGACTGGGTGTCTCAGCTAGCCCAGGCCTTTGAGAAAGGCTCTGAAGGGGTTCTAGACTGGGCTTGGGGGCCTCTGCGTTCTAGCTGGGATATTCTAGAAGGGATGCAGAGGGGGTTCTAGGCTGGAGGTAGTGTGTTTGGGCTCTAGAAGGACTCTAAAGGAGCAGTACAAGGGCCCAAAGATATTCTAGAATGGCTCCAGGAGGTTCCAGCAGAAAGGCACTAGAATCGTCCCAGGTTGGGCATCCCAGTGCAAGGGGGTCAGGGGGCAGCATGTGCTAGCTGGGATGTTCTAGGAGGGCTCCAAGGGGGGCAGGGGGTTAGCGTGTTCTAGCGGGAATGTTTCATAGATTTCATAGACATTTGGGCTGGAAGGGACTTCGGAAGATCGAGTCCAGCTCCCCATCCCAGGGGCAGGAAGTCAGCAGGGGTCATAGGATCCCAGCAAGATAAACATCCAAATGTCTCTTGAAGGTGTTCAGAATAGGTGCTTGAATCACCTCCAGTGGCAGACTATTCCAGACCTTGGGGGCTCAGACAGTGAAGAAATTCTTCCTCATGTCCAGCCTGAAATGATCTTGCTGGAGTTTGTCATCCCCTGGGGCACTCTGGTGAACAGATGTTCCCCCAGATCCTGATGAGCACCCAATAAACTTATAGGTGGCCACCAGATCGCCCGAGCCTGAGCTTTTCCAGGCTGAAGAGCTGCATGGCTCTCAGCCTGTCACTGTAAGGTCTGTTTTCCTGACCTCTGATCATGTGTGTGGCTCTCCTCTGCACCCTCTCAAGCTTCTCCACATCCTTTTTGAATTGTGGAGCCCAAAACTGGACACAATACTCCAGCTGCGGCCTCACCAAGGCTGAGTACAAGGGGAGAATGACGTCCGGGGATTTGCTGGAGAAGCATCTATGGATGCAAGCCAGCGTTTTGGTCACTTTACTAGCCACAGCATCACATCGCAGGCTCATGTTCATCTTGTGGTCAATCCTGACCCTCCAGTCCCTTTCATCTGTAGTGCTAGCCAGCATAGCACTGTCGCGTCTGTAAGCATACTGCAGGTTTTTCCTCTCAAAGTGGAGAACCTTGCATTTTTTGGTGTTAAACACCATCAGGTTCTCGTCCGCCCATTTGCCGAGCTTGTCCAGGTCAGCCTGGATCCCCCTCCTGTCCTCAGGTGTGGACACTTTACTCCAGAGTTTGGTGTCTTTGGCAAACTCCCCAAGTGCTCCCAGTCCCGCCCCTCCCAGCAGGGCCGCGCATGCGCGCGCGCGGGGGGGGGGGTTAGAACGCTGCTTTACGGCAGCGCGGCCGGCCCTCGCACGGCCTTTCACGACAGCGTGCCGAGGGGAGTGTCTCGCTCGGCGGTGCGAGCCATGGAGCCGCTGTGCTGCGCTCCGGCCCGCTGCAACATGAGGCAGAAGAAGAAAGGTACCGCGGGGGGAGGAGGAGGAGTAGGCCCTGCCGCACAGCACCGCACCTCCCCTGGGACCGCGGCAGCGCTGCGCGGAGAAGCGAGGGCAAAGTGACGCGCATGCGCAGTGCCTGGGCTGGGTGGAGCGTGCGCATGCGCCAGGTGGTTTCGCTGGTCTAAGGGGGGGGCAGCGCGCATGCGCAATGGTAGGGGTATGGGACCGTTGCCTCACCGGGGGGCGAGCGCATGCGCAGTGGTTCTCTGAGGAGGCGGAGCTCTCGCATGCGCGGTTGGCGCCTGGGGGGTGGCACACGCATGCGTAATGGTGGTGGGCGAGGTGTCTGGGAGCACGTGGCCGGACTGGCTGCGAGGGCAGGTGCTGCCACGAGGGACCCTGAGCTAGCAATGGTCCTGCTTATTGTCTTGCGTCCCGGTGGGGCTTGGTCTTCCTTGTAGGAGCCCTCAGCCGGGCAGAGCTGATGATGATGACCATCGCTGACATCATCCAGCAGCTGGTTGAGGCGCACGAACAGGGCAAAGATGTTAACCTTAACAAGTAAGTCGTGCCAGCCTGGGATCTTGTTCCTGATGCCTTTCGGGTTTTGTGTGCCCCTTCCCCTGGGCAGCCTACGTCCCTCAACGTGAACCTCGGTTTCCCTGTACTAACTGCGTTCCTTTTGTCAGGTCTTGGTGACATGTAAGCATGGGCAGCTGGTGCCTTCTGAGTCTGGGGGGGCACCAGATCACTGACAGGGCGGTGGTCCCCCAGCATCCAATCGCCAAGACAGCAGCCAAACCAGGAGTGCGCTTCCTTTGGCGCTTCCAGGGGGTGCACGGCCAATGCGTATAAACGTATCTTTGAGGGTCTTGCAGAACTTGGTTTGTGTGGTAACTTGAAGAGGTTGCTCATTGTTTCTCAAGCTGTGGGGCGTGACCCAACAGTGAAAGTGTTGTGATCAAACTTTAAAAAAATAGATCAAACTTTAAAGGAGAAAGAAGTGGGAAACTGTGGGTTTTCCCTTGCAGGCTGTTGGAGTTACAGTCTGCAAGGGGCTGCTTGGAGCCCCCCCATGTCCCACACACACCCACCCCCTGCCCCACACACTGGGGGAGGCGGGCAGCAAGTCGGGAGTGAGGGGCACTTGGTTGGGATTGGCCATCAATGTTTACAGATGTGTCCTGTACAGAAAGGTTTGAGAACCACTGGTCTATCTTATACCACACGCTTAACGTTTTACATGTGACTCATGGGATCTATGCTGTATTGGACATACAGGCCTTATGTGACCTGAAGGAAAAAGCCATAAATGAGCCTCTTGTTCTATTAACTGTGCTGATCTGTCCCATGGCTTTTTCTCTATGTTACACTATGTTAGTGCTTTTTGGTGCGGAAACACCTACATGCGCTTCATGAGATGCACCTGGAGATTTCAAATAGGAATCCCGTGTCAAAACTGGTCTGATCTGCTGTGAGCTTTTTGAGTTCTTTGCAACAGAAGACTCACTATAGAGTTTTTCTGGATTCAGAAAATTGAGTGAAAGTTAGGAACTGGCATTAGGGGTGCTATGTGTCTAAAAATGTTGAGAACTACTAGTCTATCCAGTCTGTTAATGTCAGCTCAGTTATGGGAAAGTGACCTGGATTAAATTCAGATTCCCACGTAGTGAACAGAATTGTTAGAATATTTTACCCTCAGTTAAATCTTTGTAAAGGCAAAATAACTGCTGAAACTAGGAACTTGGTTTACTCCAGGTTCCTAATGGATTGCCAGCCTTGTGCTTTCATCCAAAGACAGTAGCACAGGGTTTCACAGAATAAATTACTAAGTGTTTTATCTGTGATAAAGGGAAGGAACCTAACTGGAATGTGAATTTGCAGGATGGCTTAGACAAAACTCTAATGCAGGGGAGTCAACTGTGTAAGGTCTGTGAGCTGAATCTGGCCCCTAGACTACCACTGGGGCCAGTGGTGGGTATGGCTTGCTGCAGAATCCAGGGCTCTGGGGCCCCAGTAGACATGGTTGTCAGTGGTATTGGGTATGAGTGAGGGCTGTTCAGTAAATAAAGCCTTCACTTGCCCTGTGGCTGCCTGGTCCACTGCTGCTTGCTTTTGCCATAGTGCTGCTGGCTCATGACCACTTGTGCCACTTCCACTGTGATGGCTGCCCTGGGATGGATCTGGCCCACGAGGAGCCCCACTGTCCAGCCCAGGGCACAAGGAGAGTTTGACATCCCTGCTCTAATGAAATAACCCAGTTCCCTCTTTGTTTCTGAAAAACAAAACAGCTAGGACCCAAACCCCCCCCCCCCAATTCTTTTTTAAAATTTTTTTTTTTAAAAAAAAAAACAGCAAGGCCCCAACCCCCCCCCCCCCAAGCCTTTTTTCAAATTTTTTTTTTTAAAAAAAAAAACAGCAAGGCCCCAACCCCCCCCCCCCCAATGCTATTTTCAGAATTTTTTTTTTAGTAAAACCATCTTTGGCATACAACCTCAGTAGAAATTCAAAACCTTAAAATTGTTTTTAGTTTAGCTCCATGCTTATCAAGGTTTTGTATGCCTTGCTGCACTGTGCACTGTTAGCTGTGATGCACAGCTAGCATTAGCTTTTAAGTAAATTCTTACAGCATCATTGTAAGAAGTGTGTGTCTATTTGTTCAGTTGTAAACAAGAATTTGATACATGCTCAACCGTGTTGTAGGTAGGTGTGTGGCTTCCCGAGCGAGTACTATATAAAAACCTGACTACAAGAAAATAATTGGTGGTGCTTTCATTTTAGGCTGAAAACCAAGACATCGGCCAAGTATGGACTCTCAGCACAGCCTCGTTTGGTTGACATCATTGCTGCAGTTCCACCTCAGTACCGCAAGGTGCTGGTACCCAAACTGAAGGCAAAGCCTATTCGAACTGCTAGTGGGGTGAGCACTGTATACTTTCATTTAAAGGCACCAATATCAGCCATTGTAAAGATGCTGGTTGTCCCAGTAGCTTTAGTGAGGTTTATTTGTGTTAACAGCTTCCCCTGCTGTCACGTCCATGGTGCTGTGGGCAAGCTGAGATTACAAAGCATCTCACCAAGAAGGGAAGGAGGAAGGGCAGCAACCTCAGTTTGTTAGCCAGGTTAGCATGACTTGCTCTCACTGGTCACCCTGCAAACAATACCCACTAAAACTTAAGCCTTTATACTGCTGCTAGCCAGCTCATTAATGGTTTAGTAATGAGATGTTAATAATTACTAAAAATTATTAATTAGAAAGATGGTCAGGGTCAAATGGTGGTAACATTTAACTACAGCTAGCAATCAGGTAAATGTTTTGAGTTTTAATACATGCACAAATGCAAAATTAAAAAAAAATACTAGAGAAGTATGTTATTGAGGCCATTCCCTATTGCAGTGCAGGGATTAACTGTGCTGTTGCAATCGCAAACGAATAGATGCTTGGAAGGTTGGACACTCACGTCTTTAGATTTTATTTCCCTTTTCACATAAAAGGGAAACTAATGCTTTACATTGATCCCATCCACACACATTTCTTTTCTTTTCCTCTTTGAGAAGCTGTGAGAGACCATGGGAAAAAAGGTTACTTGGGAGTGCAGGGAGTTGCTTTCTGTGCAGTGATGACACCAGACAGTGCTGTACTGAAGTATACTGTGCCTGCTCAGCGTATGGCATCTCCCAAACCAGCGGCATTGTTGCTACCACAGCAGAGTTTATTGGTGTGCATGTTGCACCATGCAAAGGCCATCGTACGAGAGGTGGTTTGGAAGATAATGCCTGTGGAATAGGAGCTGGATGTCTCGACACAGTGCTGCCTGGTGCTAAAACTGAGCCATCTAGATGTACTCCATCACAACAAGAGATGAACGTATATTTTTTTCCTTTTCTGTGTTTGCTTTCTTTTTTATTTCCTCAGTGTCTGTTGTGAATTTCCTATGCCCAAAGTGCAGTAGTCTGTCCCAATGAGAACTGAATGTTACTTTGTCTCTTGGCAGTGTGCCTATGATGCCAAACTTGAAACGGGTACTCTACTTCTAAAAGTAGTCCTATATGGCAGGAACATGGCCTGCTGCTATGCCACACTGAACTGTTAATAGCCCTTTTAGCATTGGCATTGCTATGCTACTGTTATGTTTGATGCTGATCAGTTTTGTCACAGCAAGTACCTTTTTTCAAAAAGACCTAATGTGCAAACATTTTAGAAATAAAACTGAGTTGGAGCAAAATTAAAATAGTTCCCACATGTGCCTGTTTGTACAATTCCAGGATGCATTTATGTAATACTATTGATTATAATTTTTCTTTTATGCAATTCTTCTTATTACAGATTGCTGTTGTTGCTGTGATGTGCAAACCACACAGGTGTCCACACATTAACTTTACAGGAAACATATGTGTGTAAGTATGACAGTTTGGATAACTGAAGGAGGACCGGTTTTCAGTGTCCCTAATAAATCTAGTCATTGCTGCATCATACTAGTGCTGTTACCTTTCAGGGTGCTTAAAAGATTATGTTGTGCATCACAGAGCAGCTTCCTTTCTGCATGAGTGAAAAATTAAAGTAAATTGGATTAAAATCTGCCTTGCAGATACATGTGTTATGTGCAGAAGCAGATTCTGTGTTCTGTAGTTTTTCATTGGAAGCGCATTTTCTTTAATGCATCAAATTTAGTTGAGTGCTTGAATGAGTAAGGTGATCAGAATTTAGACCTCTGTTGTGTGAGATGAAAACTATTTGAGTACTTTTTTTTTTTCTTTCATTTAGTATTTTATAAATCTTGGGGCCCTGCTACATGTTCAAATTAAAGATGAATGGAAACCAGTTAGAGCTGTTACTCATTTATTTTTAAGCACCAACATGGTAGTTGGTTGACTTTATAGTTGGATAGTCATTTTTATGGCATGATAATTACTTTGCATGTGTGGCTGGTCTAAATTTATTGTGTGATTAACCAGTTAACTGTGTGATAATTTGCATGGGTGGCTAGCCTTACTTTGCAAGTGTGGCTAGTTTAAATTTATAGCATAATTAACTAGTTAATTGCATAATGTATATATAACGTGATAGAGGTTTAAGTTATCCTGTGATAGGGTGCTGTGTCCCTTTAAGGGAATCAAGGCTATTTAGTCCTGTTTAGTTTGTGCAAAGGTTTTAGTATTTTCTATACAGGGCTGAAGAGCTTTTTCACTTGGGTGCAACATGTCTAAATCTGAGAGAGAGGCACGGAGTGAAAGGGCTCTTGGTGGCTGCCCGAGTATGTTAGGAAAATATTTTTTGGGCTGTAATAGTTTGCATCTTTGAATGAATAAACAGTGCCTTATGGGAAGAATAAAGAAAAGGCTTTGACTTGGGTTTTAGTTCTTGCTGGGATGGTGAGGGAGCTCACAAGCCTTCATACTACTTCATATACAGCGCTTCTCCCTTGTCCAGGTGATAGGTCACCTGGTCGTAGAAGGAAATGAGATTGATCAAGCAAGACCTACCCGCAACAAACCCATGCTGGCTATCCCTTAGGATGTTGGTGTCGGCCAGTCCATGAAGGATGGCCTCTTTAATAAACTTTTCTAAGATCTTACCCAGGATAGAAGTCAGGCTGATGGGTCTATAGTTTGCCGGATCCACTTTCCTCCCTTTCTTGAAGATCGGCAGCACATTGGCCTTCTTCCAGTCTTTGGGCACTACACCAGAGTGCCAGGAGTTTTCAAAGCTCCGTGCCAGGGGCTAGGCTTTGATGCTCGCCAGCTCCTTGAGTACCCTGGGGTGCAGATTGTCAGGGCCGGCTGACTTGAAGGTATCCAGCTTCTCAAGATGTTCCTTCATGTGGTCAGCATTTCTGGAGGGCAGGGGCGCTCCCTCATCCAGACTTCCCTGTCCCATGGTGGGCATGGGCGTCCCATGGGACTGATGAAAGACCGACGCAAAGTACCCATTTAATAGGTTGGCTTTTTCCTGGGCGTCAGTTGTGAGTTGCCCCATCTGGTTCAGCAGGGGTCCAATGTTGCCTTTGCTTTTCCTCTGGCTCCCCACATATCATAGGCTTCTCTGTGAAAGATGTTTTTTGATTTGGATGGTATTTTTAGTCGCTTGAAATGTCAAGATTCTGCACATAAATTAGTAACATGATGGCTGCTCTGTTAGCTTGGTGGCTGGGGTGTGCAACAGGTACTACAAGATTTGAGGGAATTCCCATACTCCTGTGACAGGTCATCTTTACACTTTGAATTAACCATGAACCTTGTAATCCTGAGAAGTAAACTGCAGATATTTTGAAACAAACAGGAATCAGTATTCCTTTGAGTTACCCATCTCCTGTGGAAACCAACTTATGTACCAGGCCTTTCCTGACTAGGTAGTGTTAGGATACTTGGTAATCCAACTGCATGCGTGGTCTAAGAGATGAATTTAAGAAAAGTCTTTGGGTTTAGTAGTAGCAATTCACATTCAGCTACGGCACCATTGTCCAGCATGAATACTGCCTTACCCTTGGCTGGCTCGAATGTTGGCTGGCTAAACGATATGCCTGTGAAGTCATGGAATGACGCACACAGTGTGGTTTTCCAATATTTAGATAATTTAAATTGTAATGATAGATGGGAGTGAAAGGCATATTTCTGTAACTGGATGTCATATCTATTTATATGTTTGTATAAATGTGACATCCTAAATGTTTGGTGGAAATTGAAACTGGGAACTGTCGTTTTCATTTTCTAGATAGAAGATAGCTTATTTAAATGTTGAGGCTTGGAAAATATTTCATTCTTTTACGGGTTTAGAATTGTTTGCACGCTTGCCTTGCATTTTTAATAATTGTTCTAGTTCAACCCTGTAGACCTGTTTTTCTGAAGTGAATAATGGGGTTTATTTGAAATAGGAGATGTATAGCTTTCATGAGCCTGAGCTTATTTCATCAGTGAGCTGGGACCCACAAAAGCTGAAGCTACATGTCTCTGATTTGGTTAGTCTGAGGTGTAAATCCATCTGCTTTCTGCCTGACTTCAGATAAACAGAGCTGGCTGCCGTTCTCGGTTTATTTGAAATGCCAGGATTATGAAATGCATTTGCTGTTCTTTTTTTCTTTTAAGCAGAAGTTTATAAAGTTGTGTCCTCCTAAACTAATCATTTGATAGGTCAAGATTTCTTGTAATTTTCCTCTATTTCTACCCCTCCTCAAATCATTTAAGTAAAGTAAATGTCTGTGTGTTTAAATTGTAGTCTAATGTACAGATGCAGCTTCAGTAGTCTCATCTCACTTTATCTTTCTCATGGGTGCAAGTTTTCTCTAACTCCTCATTTTTATTTTATTTTATTTTTTATATTTGCAGGTACTGCCCCGGCGGGCCTGATTCTGATTTTGAATATTCAACACAGTCTTACACTGGATATGAGGTACTGCCTTGAATATGACTGTCTGTTGTGCTGTAGTGTCACAGTTTGTCTTTGAAATAGGGATACAGGCTCCTTTTTAGTTTTATGGAGTCTTTTTTCTTTAAACATGTACTCCTCCTTTGTAGTAAGAATTGGGGAGGGAGCCAGGGGGACCATTCCATGTTACAAGACATTCCTTACATTGGGAGACTTGAATTAGTTCTAACATTTGTTCTCTCTCTAGTCTACTTCATTGGCTTCTTTCATACTTCCTGTACTTTGTCTTCCTTTTAATTTCATTCTTTTTATTTTGAGATGGGTTAGTTTTCTTCTTTGTCTTGTTCTCAAATGCTTTTGAACTTTGACGTCGAGTGCCAGCGTGATTTGTTTGCCTCACAGTTGGCCATGAAAACAGCTTAGGGGAAACTCGCATTTGGTTCTGTTTAAAAAATGAAATCTTGAAGCATTTTAAATCTCAAAGTAAAACAAAAAGATTCACCTTTGAAATAGCTCACTTGATTTACTGCCTCTGGACAAACCCCACTTCCATATATTGCAAATATGTTTCTGTATTTGCAGTGAGGCCACACTAATTTACATGCAGTGTAGCGCAGAATGTCTTTCTCTCCTGCTGCCTTGCAAAATTTTAATAGCAGTGCCATAGTGAGAAACTGAATTACTAAGACTATTATATTGATAAAATATGTTTCACTGTATCTTCTAGTACGTTATGAAGTGTCAAACTGAACTAAAGTAATGTGTCTGTCTCTAAAGAAATAAAACTAAGTAGACATGGATATAGTGTCTCTGGGTTGTTAATTTTGTTTGTTTGCTAATACACTGTATTCAGTGATTGGGTAATTTGTTACCCAGTTATTGGTGCCAAATAGAAAGAGAACATTTAACTAGAACTTTCCTATTCATGCTTACTTGGAAATGGGAATTTATGTATTTATTTAGCACTGAGAGCGTTTGGCACCATACAAGATAAAACGGTAATACCTGTCCCAAGGGGTTTACAATGTGAAAGGTGTAGAGAGCACAGGGTGCATTAAAAAATGGAAAGGAGACTATAACTTTTCTGTGATATTAGTAATAGGTCATAACAAGCTCTGCAGTTTTTCACTTTATAAGCTCGTGCATTCTTTCTTCTGAAAGTGGGAAGACGTCATGCCTTACACGGGAAGAATTGTGGGAGAAAAAGGGCTGAAGTCAGCTTAGAGGAACGAAAGTAATAAAATATCAGGACCAGTATATTGCCATGTTGCTGCATTCATTGAGAATTTCTGCTTTGCCCTTTTCCGGAGAAAGTATTTAAAAGCAAACTTTTTTTTCAATCGGATTACATCATCAGGACAAAACATCAGTTTAAGAAACTGGATTTAAATGTGCTAAATTTTAGCAAACTACAACTAGATAGGCACTAAGAGTTTGAATTTTTAATAACTAGATGTCTGTGAAGTTTGAAGTGTCCAGCCACTTGCTAAAGAGTTACACATTTCTGTTTTCTTCTGTGTTAACAATAAGCTTTAAAAATGAACCTCTTTGTTTTTCATAGCCAACATCAATGAGGGCCATTCGTGCCAGGTATGACCCTTATCTCCAGACGAGGCATCGAGTTGAACAGGTAATGATTTGCAATGCTAGGGACACAGTGAATTTTGTGAAAATGGGTATAAAAGCGTGAATATGAAAGGCATAATGAAAAGAGTATTTTTATATAGGCCAGTTACCTTGGGGAAGCGGGGGAGGCATAGAAAGAGAGAGCTTTTGAATAGCATCTTGCTCTTTTTGTTGAAATTTCAGGTTTTTTTAAAAAGAAAATAAAGATCTTCTTAATTATTAGGGCCTCAAAATAATTATCCTGAAGATATTGCTGAAGCCACAAAATCCAATGTTTCCTGTTCCCTATATTGGATACTTTTTTTTATATGTGATGATTTTATGCTTTTGCAAATTGGAATGATGAAATATCAGAATGCTGTTGTTGTTCTTGCTTTATGTGAATTGTTCCTATAACAACATCAAACACTTAACATTTTACAAAAACATCTGAAAATTTGCACACCTTTTCCTATGGATGTTCCCATCCAGCTCTTGATCATTAGCCTTCAATAATAGCAAATGGACTTGGGACCAAACTCTAGTAGCTCTTATTGTCTGTTTGTTTCTCTGACTAGAATTTCTTCTATTTCTCTCTTTTCCTTATTTCCTTTGAGGTTCCTCTTCCCACCTCTTTTCTTGTTTCTTCAGATGCTTCTTCTAGTCCTCCTTTCTCTTCTCTCCTTCCTTGGACAGCAGTTTCACCTCTTTTCCCATCAGAAGGGAAAGAAGTGGCCATTTGCTACCCTGTAGTAGCTTCTGGTGCTTGGGGGCAGAAACTGCAGGTTAGGGGGGGAAATTTCAGTTATTCAAGACAATGGGATGTGGACCCATTCCACAAAATACACACGCCCATGCACTGCATTTTCTCCAGTACACACGTATGCATGCACGTACACAGCTACCTCTCTACCCACCCACTACATTTTCTGTCTCATTGTTCATTTGTCAGGACAGTAAGTTGTAGGATCCAGTTGTTTACAAGATTTAGTTTTTTAGTCACCAAAGCAAGAACATAAAGCTATCAATTTGTAGGACCTCCATCTAACCCAGGAGGTGCACAGCCCCACCAGGGGTGACACCTTGTTGGACCTGGTGCTGGCCACGGACAACGACTTGGTGAGGGGGCTGCGGGTGTTCGACCACCTGGGCGACAGCGATCATTGCCCACTGGGGTTCACCATCCAGTGCAAGGTGGCAAAGGCCTGCAGCAAG